AGCATCTCCTCGGGGCTGGGCTGTCCTGCATCCCCAGTCCTTCACCCTGTGGTTGTGGGTGCAGGGAGCAGCAGGAAAGCCAGCTTTGCCCTGAGGCCACGTGGGAAGAGGATTGACTGTCCGAGCTTGGAAACCCACCTGCATCCTGACCTAAGGCATTTCTCTATCTAAGGTAGGTGAGGCACTTAGGGACATGGTTTAGTGGGCATGGTGGTGTTGGGTCGACGGTTGGACTTGATGATCTTAGAAGTCTTTTCCAACCTCAATGATTCTATGATTCTCAGACATGGGATGTACAATTCAACAGATGGCCTTGATTTCTGCGAACCCAAGTGGCAGCTCAACTCTGAAGCATGTCCAACAGGATCTTTTCTGCCTCCCCATCACATTGCCAGTCTTCACTGTCCCCCTTCACTTTCCTCCCCATCACATTGCCAGTCTTCACTGTTCCCCTTCATGCTTTTCCCCCCCCCAGACAGAGGCACCCTAGAAGCACTATTCTCTTAATTAAATTTCAGCCCCGGGCCAACAGCTAATTGATGGATCTGAAATTTTTTGTTCAACATATTTGGGATTCAATTAAAACCCAAAATCCAGTTCTCTTCTCCCCTTTCTGCCCTTATCTGCCAAGTACTGCGTGACCCTTTATTATTTCTTGAGAAGTAATTGGCAGATAAATCCCCCTGGCACCACGAGATCTCCAGCAAATGCACCAGAGCATTAAACTCTGTAGATGAGGAATGAGTTCCTGCTCCTTCTCCTGGCACATATTCTGACACGTTAGGAGGATTTGAGAGAGTTTTAGGTGGAAGTGGAGGCAGAAGGTCAGCACTCAGTTTGCTAAGGAGATGCTGGTTGAGAGGACAGGCAGCTGCGTGCTGTCAGGAAATAAATCACCAGCAGAAAGGAGTTAAAAAGAAGTAACTCATCACTGTAACTTCCTCCGGATATCCAACATCTGAATAAAAACCTTAATTCCTTATAAGAAATCAAAGAGCCCCCTTCAAGCTTGAGCCTGGACTACCTTGTACCCTGCAACACCCCAGCCTGCTCATAAAGTCTGAAGCTGTATTTTACCCTCAGCATTTATTTAGTCCCAACAGTGTGAATGTAGGCTGCGAGTTTATAAATATGCCACCAAATAGAGACTCTATTACTCCTAAATAATTTACCACATTGAAGCCGCTCCTCAATTTAATCTAACCTGTTAGTTTCTTAATTAAAGCCCTTCCAGTGCTTGTTGACCTGGTAAAATGCCATCTGCTTTCTTCGATTACACAGCAAACAAGTCCCCTGACAGGAGAGGGGGGACCTGGCACTGCCACACACTCCCAGGGAGGGGGATGAACTTGTGAGCAGCACAGAGAGGGGGATGGAGGAGGCAGCGGCTTGGGGAAGGGCTGGCGAGAGCGGGGTGAGTGGGGTTTATGGGCTGGGAGAACCACAGTTTGGCTGAAGTACACAGCATTCATCAGAGACTTCCAGTGTAGGAGGCACCACGTCCAGCAGGTTTACCTGAATCTGGCTGGTCTCAACACAGCATTAGTGATAGAGGCCACAGAGTAATTGCCTCTATGGAGTGCATGGATGGATCCTCAGCAACAGCTGTTTACTCCTGCAAAACACAGAAGTTTAAATAACTTAAAATAACTTACCAAAATTATCAGTTTAAGCTCCAGTCAGGTTGCCTTCTGACCTTGTCTCTGGATTTGGGTGGTGGAAAAGGTGCTTTCAGGGGAGGAATCAGGCATCCATGCCAGCCTGTGCCAGAGGAGAACATGGCCATGCTGATGGCTCTTTGGGAGAGCCTCTCCCCTGTGATCCTGGCCAGTGTCCCAGGAGCCAGCCTGTCCCAGGGCCACATTAAAGAGTAACCCACAAAACACCAGCAGTTCCCTAAAAAAGGGAGGAAAAGACCACAAGGGCACCCAGCACCTGCCTGCAACCAGAGCAGGTTGTTAGAGCTTGGCTTTCACTCTGTGGTACGATACTGCAAAGAGCACATTATTAAAATTAAAATAGCAGTACCTGTAAATTAGTAACACTCAGGTCACTGAAGAGGATGCTGAGCAACTGCTTAAATTGTTCAGAGCCACAAGAGAGGGTGGGTCACCCATTAGGGAGTGAATTAGATACAGCCCCTTTTCAGCCTGGTCTGGCCCCTGGCTGCTTCTTTGAACTAATTAGTTCAGGAAGGTCCCAGTTAAGGAGCTGCTAATAAAGCCTGGGGGATAGTCCTACGGCAATATTACTGTAATCACTCAGCAGTTATTTGTTTATTTTGCAATCCGTGTTTCCCAAGGCCCCCGGAGGGCTCTTTGGCCAGCGCTGTCCCTGGGACCTGCCTCCTCTCCTTGCTCGCTCAGAGGTCGCTCCTCAGCACTCTTCAAACCAAGGCATCCATTTTGGCGAGCACGCTGTGATGTACAGCAGACTGAAGCTTTCCAGTTCTGCAGGAATAACTCTAATTTACTAAAATACCCTCAGTTTAGCAGTTAACCAGCCCTGCCCATTTCTGCCCTGCTGGGGTTTAAATGCAGACCCCGGTGGGAGGGCATCGCCTGTGCCCCAAATCAGGGGCACTTTCCCAGCTATCGTCTGAGGGAGGGAACGTGACTGCAATGCCACAGGTCCCCTGTGCTGTGGGTGATGGGCAGAAGTATAAAGGATAATCTGTGTTTTATAATTGCTGAATTTTCTTCAGTAACCACCTCATGAATTGTGCTCCGAGTGTGCTGTTTCTATAGAGACAGGCCCTGCTGGGGTTTAAATGCAGACCCCGGTGGGAGGGCATCGCCTGTGCCCCAAATCAGGGGCACTTTCCCAGCTATCGTCTGAGGGAGGGAACGCCTAAAGCCATAAGCCCGGGAGCCTTCTGTTTCTATAGAGACAGGGAATGCTGCGAGTGCACCGGCGGCCGCTCACTGCTCCTCCAAAAGGGAACGCCTGAAGCCATAAGCCCGGGAGCCTTTAAAAGCTTTCCCCTCTCAAGGAGAAGGTCCTGGGGTGGTCCCGGTGCTAATATGATTTTGAGATGGTCAGCGAGGGCCCGTTGTCCTCCCGTGCTGGCTGATCCTGTCTGTCCTCGCGTGCACAGTGTGGGTGGCTGCTCAGAGGAAATAAAATAAAAGCAACTTTTTCCAGCCATGCAGTGCCAGTGTTTCTGGCAGAAGAGGACAGGAGCGGGTGGCCGCCGTGGGGCCCCTTGCTGCTGGTCCAGAGCTGGGCATGGTGCGCCCTTGGCTTGGCCAGGCAGGAGGGAGAAAGCCAGCGCTTTCAGAGCCAGGGCTGGGGGCTAAGCCGTGGCCAGGCATGGGAAAATGTTTTGCTGGAGTTGCTAACAGTGGCTATTCCCTGATGCATAGCCTGAGGCCTGCTTCGGCATCCTCTGGGAAGGGTCCTGAAGCGAAGGTGGTGGCGTGGAGCCAGCCCCGTTCCTGGCTCCTGGGCCAGAAAGGAGCACAGTAACCCCCCTGTGCTTCCCAACACCTACTCGCTGCCGGGGCCACCTTTGCCCCAGCTCTGGCCCTTCCTCTCACACGAACACGAAGGCCAAGAGAGGGGGTTGCTGCCGTGAGCCCTGATGCCCCACAAGGACAGGGGAGGGCAGTGCGGCCATCCCCGGGACGCCTGGGCAGGTCACTCTCAAAGGACACCGGGGCTCAGATTGCATCTTCCCTCCCACCGGTGGAGGCTAAGGCTGCTGCCCTTCGGTCACAGGACCAGGCCAGTGCCTTTATCCTGCTTCTCGCATATCGGACACCTCCCTGCCCACACCCCGGGACGCTCGGCTGGGAGCAGTGTGGGGGATGTTACCCCCGAAACCAGCAGCTCCCAAGACAGAGACCCAGCACTGTCCCCTACCCTGGGGAAGGGGCAGGCTTTTTGTTTTGCCTCTATTAATATTTTTAAAGCAATACATCATTGCTTTAGCAGCAGATCCACCTCCCTCCCTGCTGCCTCTGCCACACGTGGGCCAAAGATCTGCTCCATTCATCAGCCTGAGATTTATGAGGTGCAAAGGGCTCCGGTTACACCGCTGCCCCCAGCCTCCTCCCAGAGACTGGATGAATGAGATGCTGCTTGTTCCTCTCATACCAGAAGCAAAACAAGCCCAGAGGAGAGTAAAGCCATCATTTCACCAAACTCAGCTCCCTAAGTCTCTACCAGCACATGAAATCCTCCGCCATGAGACCCCTTGTGTCCCACAGAAGCCGGGGGAGCCCCTGCTGCCCGCAGAGGCTGAGCCTGCGTCCCGCCAGCCCCTCTGCACAGCCCGGCTTTGCTCATGTGAGACACTCCAGAAATAGAAAAGGGATTGAAGGTTTCGGCTACTCCGGATTCCTTGGGCCCCCAGGCCCCACTGCCCCTGGCTGGCTCTTGGGCTCTGCTCTCCCATCCTCCCCCATAAATCACTCTTCTCCTGGGCTGCCATTTCCCTGTCCCTCGCGCCTGGCTTTCCTCTCACTTTGGCCTTTTCAAGAGGCTGAGCAAGAGGATGGCCATGGGTAGAGGAGAATCGCTCCTCTCCAAACCCAGGAGGACCATGGCGCCGGAGGAGCAGGCAGTGACGCACAGCTTGGAAGAACTTGGCAGCAGCCCTGGGGTCGGGAGGCTGCGAAGGGACCTGTCAGCGGCCGTTTGCATCACCCAGGCAGGCTTCGGGCCAGCAAGCCGCCTTTCCGCCCGGCCCCGTGCAACCTCGGGGGGAGGCCAGCACGATGGTAGCATACAGAGCTTGCTTGGAGAGCTGGAGATGTCCTCAAACATCTGGCACCAAACTTTCGAGAAGCAGTAAATGAAAACAACTCTCTTTGCAAAGAACCCCCCTATCAACAAAACCGCAGATTTTTAAATAGGTATTAGGGAAAAGCTAAAAACCATTCAGGTGCCACCACGCAAATTCTGCACCACATGTTGATGAGCTCTCCTGTAAGACTGGAATGAGCTTGCCAACCCAGAAAGAAACCTGGAGATTCCCCCGCAAAGATCCACATGGATACAGTGAGCAGATAACTGTTTATTATTGCACGTAATCCAGCAGAACAACCGACAGAAAACTCCAGACAGTAGTACACAGATTGTAGTAAACAGCTTGTAAAATCTGTGATGAAGGCATTTTTGTGTGAAGAGTGAAATGTATCTGCATCTTTGTAAGACCTGAAAAGTATAACACAATATCCTAGTCAGTTTTGAAAGCATGCAGTTTGAGGTAAATCTGTTATTTTGCATCTAAGAAAACGAAATCCCTAAGGGGCTATATATATGTGTATATATATCCATATCTCAGCGCAATATGGATATATTTATACATCACATAAAAGCAAATCTACCTACTTTTCTCAGAAGGTTACTAGGAGGAAAGCACGTTACCGAGTGCGCATCACATGCATAAAAAATGGGGGCGGGGGGGGATTACCTTAACACTGTTGAAAAAGATCCATTTTTGTGCTTAGTGATAAATAAAAGCCCCTCAGGTCTCTCAACGGAAATTGTCTTGGTGGTTAAAAAAAGCAGTTGGCATATTGAAACCGCAGAGCTGGCAAGTGAATGCCAGCAAATGGAGATAAAACGTCAAAGGCAGCAGAGCCTGGGGTTTGCAATACATTTATACTTAAGAAAAGAAAAAAAGAAAGAAGCAAATTGCTACTAAACTATGCTCTGTGGAAGTGTAGATGATGCTGCACAGCTTTCTCAGGACTGGTACAGCCACATGGCTTTTAGGAAGGGATCACATTCACTTCTCCCACAGTTAACACCACGTATTTGCTACTGTGGCAACGTTCCTGAGCTGAATAAGGTTAAAAAATAAACTTGGTTCACAAAGAAAAGTACTGAATTATTCTCACTCTCTTATGCCATAATTAGAGCAGATAAATTAGGCAGGTTTTGCCCTGTGTCTCCAGTCAGTGTAGAGCCCTGCCTGTCTGCCACCCCATCTCTGAAATCCTTTCAGATTGACCTTTGGAGCAGACTGGGCATCTGTTTTTTTCCTTACCATCATTTCCCCATTCTTTCCAGTCCCTCAGGTTTTCCCACCCAGTCCTGTGCTGTGGGACTTCAGGATACACAGAGGTGCACAACCGACTATAAATAACATTTCCGATTACCTTAAAAATGGATAGAAAATACATATTGCTTTTAGAAGAAGGAAGAAACATGTCCAAGCACTCAGCCTCACACTAAACTGTAACTTCATCTGTGCTGACTTTCTAAGCTCGCACTGCAGAGGATCAGAGCAGATCACGGTGGAAACATCTCCTTCCAAAGGTCACTCTCTCTTGCAGCTTTGGGAATATTCGGTGCAAATCACCCAGGCCTCTGAGCCTCACACAAAAGAACAACAGCTAGAATTGCCCTTCTGTACTCTACCAGTGCTGAAAGTCTGGCTGCTGCGTATTTTTGAGCCTAACACCCAAAGAACTGGAGCCACTCAGGTCTCTGCACCTTTTTCCTTTCGGGAATAACGTAACCTCTCCCACGACAGCCACCCTGCATCCTCTGGCTGGAAAGTCTGTTCACTCTGTTGCAATGAAAGAGCACAGGAGCCCCCCTGCAGCCCAGAGCACGAAGGGGAGGAACCTGTGGGCATACGGAGGTATTTTTCAGTAAGTACCTCATTTTCATTGTAACTTGCACCATTTTCATAGAAAAAAGGGGTAAAGGGACAAATTCAGCACATCTATTTCCTTTACTGTTAGAGCGGGAAGTCATCCGCTGCAAGACACTTCTGCGTGGAGCATTGCTGGTGGCAGGAGAGCGCTCGGATGGTGCCTGGTCCTGAAACGGGACCATCTCCACCCGTAGCACCCCCCGCATGCACGAACAGCCTCGGATCAGCCAGTCCCTCGCACCCCACCCCGCGGCCCCCGTCCGTGGCACGTCAGCAGGCATGGGCAGGACTCTGGTTACTCTTCAACAAGCCCAATTTCAACTTGCTCCCCCTCTCAGTCCTCCATACGTGGAAAACGACTCCAGGCAATGGGGAAAGGAAACACTTTTTGTTCATCCCTTTGGATGACTTCCAAGCATGGAGGGCGATGTTGTCCGCCCCTAGCCGTGGCGCGGCTCTCATGAGTCATTTTGGTTGCTGTGTATTGCTTCATCTCCACGCCACGGATGACATTCTTCGGGAAATCTCTGACACTGAGTCAACCAAAGGAGTTACAAAACACATCAGTGTGCACAGATGAGACCTTCTTACTCGTTTTCCTACAGCTACAGATAAATCCCTCATCCCTGGCATGACAGGACAGTTGATGGCTTTGGTGAGAACAATTTAAGGCAACTGCTATTTTATACAAAGAAGAGAAGGAGGTTGAATTGCAGAAACCCTGGCTTTTCCTTGGTAGATTGCAGAGGCCAGCCACAGCCTGGGAGCAGGGAGACTGAACTGATCTTCAGGCACTTTTGTTTAAGGTTCATGTTTGCAGTGCAACCTTGGGATCTCAAGTCCTCCTCTTAGGTGTTTCCAGGTGGCTGAGATTTAATCCCTGCCGAGGTCTGTGGTCTCCATCAGCAGCAACGCCTGTACCAGACAGAGATGAACGGTAGAGTCAAGGGGGAGCAAAACACACGACCGACACATAATCACGGCTGTCTGCAAGGCTTTCACCTATGCAGGCTGAGTGGGGACTAATAACACAACAGAAAGCAGTGCTCAGCAGAGCAGTTTTATCCCCCAGGAGGCCCCAGGAAGGCAGCCTGATACCCTCACAGGGGCTTGGGAGGAACCTCTCACATTATGTTCACGTGAGGCCCAAGGGTCAGGTTCAGCCTTGATGGGTTTTTTTGCAGTATTTGAGCCCAAGGCAACAGAAATCTTGAGCAAACCCATGACACGTTCCTGTGTGCAGGAACCCCGGAGGCACAAGAAACCTCACAAGATTTTATTGCCACCAAATCCAAATGCAAACCCTCATCCCAATTCAAGTGGAAGAGCTGAGCAAGCTCCAGTTTAACCTTAGTCAGATACCCATCGCAGCTCATATTTACCTTTAGTAACACAGCTACGTAACAACAGCAGCAGAACTAGCACTGGTGCAATTAGAGCTGCAAATTTCAGTTTCACATTCTCTTTGTGTTCCTGCCTCTTGCTGGGCTGAGTGCCAAGAAATACTGCAACGCACGAGTTACCTGGCAGCAGCGGCCACGGAACAGCAAATTGAAAGTGTTTCTTGCAGAAAACAAATTTCAAATTTAACATCACACATTCTTGCACTGGAAGTCTCCATGAATCACGTCCATCCAACTGGGAAAGCAAAACTATACTGTGGGACTGTATCCAATCAACACAGTTCAATTTTTTAACTTTGAGGAAATAATTTTACGAAAAGACTCGAGAACTATCCACTGAAATTACTCCACAAACACTCTTGGAACAGACAAGGGGTAACTGAGAATCTCAACGCTCAATGTAAGGCAATTGCATCTGTTGAATAAATGCCCATGCATTTCCATCGCCAGGGCATCCATCACTGAATGATTTGCGTTGGCAATAAAGCCAGTCAACCCTAAACCGTCCACAGTGAAGTCTACAAATTGAGGATAAAATCTCATTGCTCGTCTTACCTTGTCCGAGGGGCACATCATGTCAAAAAATGTACAAATAGGATGGCCAGACCAATGTTCAATAAGATGACCATGCAGATCACGATTGTGTTAGGTCCCTGAAGGAAAAACCCAAAACAGAGTATTATACACTGCAATTCCAGGTGAAGAGACAGATACAGCTTGATTCTGCTGTTCAAAACCACCAGAATCGCCCCCTTCCAACGTACATAAATCTGGCACTTCACCACCAGCCTGAATTTCAAACTAGTTGAATATCTATCAATCCCTATTCCTATTTCTCCCCTGCAAACTCCTGCTAAGGAGGCTAAATCAGGCTTTTTCTGAGGCTAAAGCAGATTAAAGGAGACCCTGACCACAGGCACACAAACTGCCAAGCCCGTGTCAAGCTGCTCCTCCCAACTCCCTTCTCCACCCATAGCGCCCACGTTTGTAAATTTTTAAGATGACCAAACGCATCTGTATGAGATTGCTCTAATTTCAGACCAAAATATTTCCAAGCTGTGCTTTTCTAAAGTCCCGTCGGACCGTTCACGTCCAAAGGGCTGCAAGATGAGAAGCAGCGGGCTAACAAAACGTCTAGTTTTACAGCTGTATTTGCTAACAGCAAAACTTTCCCCCAGGAGCAGCCGGAGGCTCTGAGCCCCACAGCGTGCTAACAGCTGTATTTGCTAACAGCAAAACTGAATTTCTGTATTTTAAACCTGGGAAATCAGCTGGTGATTCGATACCACAGTTCAGCTCATGGGGTGCCCCTGCTACAAAAGAGTAAAAGTAACAGGTAAAAAAGAAACCCCACTCAGCTTTTTCTTCCCTGTCCGACATTTTCCCCCAAAATTTCCAGATCCACACTGGCTGGTAAAAGGGTGGGAAAAGAAGGGGAGAAAAGTGTAAAAAATGAATCAGAAAATGCCTGTTTTCCTCAGATTTTGAAATAGGGACGTGTCTGAAAGCATATCTACCCCGGCGCAGAGAGGAAGTTAAAATAACAGGGTTATGACCGCCAGCCCCAGCAGGCGGGGCAGGGGGGGCTGGGGAGATGGCGGGGGGGGGGGAAAAAAA